TGCTGGGATAATAATCCAGATAAACGCCCATCAGCATTAGAAATTTATGAAACTATTACAAAATGGAAGAATGATTCTAAAATTTTGTCAGAATTTAAAAACTCTGATAAAGAAATGGTAATAGAAAATAATCACTCTAACGTTAGTAATGATAATAATTCTATTCATACTAGTAAAATTATTAGTTTTATCAATCAACAATTACATGAATGTGTTATATCAGATAATAATATTGATGTTAAAAATATAGAAATGGAAGTAAGTGACACTACGGAAAATATAAAAATGGATATTGATTCTAAAAAGAGAAAAATGGATACAGATACTGAAAAAATTGGAATGGATATTGATTCTATTGATAGCGATGATATAAAAGGTTTTGAATAATAGCAAGAAATATATTAATTATTTAACAATACAAACATTTATTTATTTATTGTGTCTCTTATTTTTATAAATAAAGTAGTCAAATTTATAAAAATCACTTCATAATTAGTTTAAATTCAAAAATTATAAGGTTGACATTCAATTGAGCAATATAACAATAAATCAGTTATTTGCTTAAATGGAGAGTTTTTCACCATACTCCAGACAGTAAAATAGAACACATCACCTTAATAATTCTTGTTACTAAATAATAATCGCGAACAGATTTAAAATGAATTGTAAAGCTTGAACTGTATTGTATAAATAATATCGAATTATCGAATATATAAAGTCTACACGTCCAAACTCAACCAATATAAATTTAAAATTTCACATTCGTTATGTTCAGGATTCATTATAGAGTTCGTTATAGCAAACTTCGGCTGTAATTTGATTTATAAACGAATCTGCATTCATGAAGCAAATTAACACAAATAAATAATTCGGAAGAAGCTATAAAAGATTGTGGAGTTATGAAATATAGTCACGAGTTAAATAACAAAACGAATTAGTCTGCCCAAACACAGTTCACTTTTGTTATAGTGAACACTCGATATAGCGAAGAATTTTGAATTACAGAATTATTAATGGTAAAGCGGATGTAAAGTATATATGGTATTCTCTCAATATAAGTTACAGTGAAGATTTCTTTCCCAGCCTAAATACTTCGCAATAATGTGAGTTGTAATCGTTTATTTATCGTATTTCAACATATGAGGCCTTTATTTTGTGTCGAATCATGAATAACAAATGAATAGAAAAAAATTGTATTCAGTTAATTTTCTATACTGATTTGTCAGTTCATATAGTAAAACTTTTTAAAAATTTTTTACTTAAGTGGCTTACTACGTTCCTATACCGAACTTTAATAAATTTATTAAAAAAGTTCCTTACAGTGTAGGTCCGTATAAAGAGAATAGATTGTTTACATAGTTACGTACGTGATTGCGTCTCAAGTACCCTAGCCATGGCAAAAAACGAGGTATCAGATCATGTGATTTCTGGCGCTCTGAAAACTACCCCAGGATGTGCGTCCTTAAAATATACCCGGGGTATAGGCTCTTAACCTATGACCGAAAATAAATAAATTAAATTTAAAATAGTTCTTGTGCATTAACAATAGCAATTAACGCACATGGACAATGCACTATTATCATCCCCTTACAACATTGCATCACAATTCAAGCTACATGTTCAAAATATTTATGTACTGACATTTCTGACTTAATTTCTCATTACCCTCTCTTCAAGATGATGATAATTACAGTAAATCACCAGACCACAAGGCCTATTACCTTACAGCGACCTTCCCATATTACAGTTACTCCTAACCAGGTGTTCAGACAAAGTCCTATCAACATTAATTCTAACTAATCTACTTACTTTTTTTTGTTACTTTTACAGCAAGTTCTTTATATACAACTTTTTTTTTACAATAAATGATGGTACAAATCAATTCCTTATCAAACATTGATTCTAACTAATCCACTTAATTTTTGTTATTTATATAGGAGGTAAGTTCTTTACATATGGTATTTTTTTATAATAAATAATGATACAAATCAACAGCCAAAATACAATAAAAATATAAGATACAGTGAAGCCTACTCGAAAAAAGCAAAAAAGATTTAGCTTAAGAATCAAGATCTTACTATCAGTATCTATAACTAATAATGTGAACGATACTTATTTACATGATTATAAGCTTCATTTAAATTATTCAATACCTATGCTTCATCTCAAGTCAAACCTGAAATAGCATTTGTTAATGTTATCTCACATGCCAACTATTGAATATTTCCCATTACAATGGGTTATACTAGTCTTAATTAAAAAATCTGAATCTACAATATCATGTGATCAATATATTTAAATTTACAACAATGTTAAGCTGAAGTGAGGCAGAACATAATTAATGTAAAACTGAGCTTGAATTGAGGTCAAAAGTTATTGCATTGGTTATTTTCCAAACTAGTTTATGTATTTGTATTTTATTTTATTAAAGAGTGAATTTTAAATGTTAATTGTTTTACTGTATCACAAAGTTGTTTTTTATAAACTTTATGTAATTCTATAAAATTATATAAATATTATAAAATTTTTATATATGTTTACAAACCCAATATAGGCTTATATAATAAGAATTTTTATATGTAAACTATGTAATTTATATATATAATTTTATTTTATATAAATTTTATTTATATTTATATAAAAATAAATTAATTTACTTTAGTTATTTCTCAAAAGTGACTAATGTAATCACCGATCGATACACTAAGTAAAATGTTTAGCATAGTTGAAAAGCTTCTCCAAACCCTAATTTGAACTTTAAAATCAAATCTAAGCTTTAATATTTAAGTTAAAATTTTTTTGCTATTTTATATAATTCTACATATAAATATATATATTATATAAATAGATATGTAAACCAGTGTTAGAGATCTGATGTTCTTAGTGTTCTCTCAAGAACATTAAATATATTTTGAGAACATTAAAATTAAAAATTATGTTCTCTTTTTGAGAACATTTGAGAACATGAAATTTGTAAATTTAATTATAAAAAATTTTTTGAGGACATTAAAAAATTTTTTTGAGAACATTAAAAAATTTTTTTGAGAATCAAAATTTATAATTTATGTTCTCAAAAAACACAAAAATTTTTTCAGATCTTTAACACTGATATAAACTCTACATTGGGTTTATAAAGTTTTGTAAGGTTATATAAATTTTTATATAGTTTTATATAAAAATTCTATATAATTCTTCATAAAAACAACTTTGCAATGCACTACACCTGATCTTCTAATTAATAGTTAGCTAAAACTAACTGACAAATCCTCTTGTATATAAAGTTCTGGTATATATATTTTAAATTGCATCTACATTACTGTGAATCTTGATTAAAACTTTAAGTTAACAACTAATAATTGTTGAGATATAGTAAAAAATATAAAGTTTAAAACCTAGTCAAGCAAAGCAAAACAAAACATAAAAACTTAAAACTCAATCAAAGCCAAAACTATAAAATAAAAAACTAATAGAATCCCACCTTGATAATATTTTTTGATTTTAATTAATCATATATTATCAAATTGTTAGTGTCTGTTAATCATGTTCTGTTATATCTAATTATTAGTTGGTGGTGAAGCCACTATATAATTATATACTAGTCTGTAAGATAATAAAGTGTGAAGTTTTAAATGAGATCAAGCGAAATGAGACTGATAGTTATATAAAGTTATTATCTAATTATAAGTTAGCTGA